GATCTGTTTCAGCAGCGGCTGACTTGGGGAAGCCAGGGGCAGAGCAGCTGGGGTGCTGCCGGGTTGGTCCCGTAGCACCGCTCAGGTTAGGGGCAGCGCTGCAGGACCAACCCAGCAGCACTCCAGCTGCTCTTCCCGGCTTCCGCAAGTCAGCTGCTGGTCAGTTTAAGCAGCGCCGCTCAGGTGAGGGGCGGCGCTATGGGACCAACCCGGCAGCACCCCAGCTGCTCTGCCCCCGGCTTCCTCAAGTCCACCACTGGTCAGCAGCAGCAGACTTGGGGAAGCTGGGAGCAGAGCAGCTGGGGTGCTTTGCCCCAGGGCTTCCCCAAGTCCACCGATGCTGAAACTGATCAGCGACAGACTTGGGGAAGCCCGGGGCAGAACAGCTCCAATTGTCCGGCTGGCAAGAGCACTTCCGGGTTCCAGTTGGTGCCGGACTATCAGGAGTGCTGGACCACTGGATGCCAGACAATTGGAGTTTTACTGTATTCTCCGACAAGAATACTTTGTCATTATGGATTCTCAGTATGGACTTTCATACAAATCAACAGCATCAGCACTTCCATACTGTTCAAGTCAGTAGCATGGCTCTTCAGGAGAAAGTTTATTACTCAGATATACTACTAGCCTGGCAATTAATGAGGGAGAAAAGATTGGGGGAGTTTGACATCAAATGCTTAGTAGCAAAAGCAACAGGGGAATAAAAAACAACTCCAAGTAGTATTTAAGCTCCTGGAGAGGACACTTCCACCTTGGATTAAATTTTATTTCTAGCAACAAAGAATTTGAAATACTGCCATAAATGTTCTGGATTATGCCGCCTTGGCATAAACCCGATGAAAGCAGCTGAACCTCTGTAGTTTTGTCCTTACTGACATCCTGCAAGTGGCAAATCCCTGGTTTAAAAAAAAAAAAAAAAAAAAAAGCCAGGCATCCAAAAAATCTAAAATTTCATGCTGTCAGTTACTGTAACTTAGGAGAGTTACTTTAATGACAAGATCATTCCAACTTCAACAAACAATTCAGCTCATCTATTTCCAGTTTCTCTCCCAGCCCACTTAAAAGCCAACAAAAAGTAACAGAACTGTAAAAGATTATTAAGTGTTACTTGGAAATAACATCACAACCTGAATGTTATGATTTCAGGTGCATAAAGCTGTTAGAACAGAAAAGCACCCTAGTAGTAGAAATGTTTCCATACATATTAGGGATGTAAAATCCCAATTAATCAGTTAACCAGTTAAATGTTAAATTAACCTAACATTTAAACAGTTAACCAACTAAACAGGATCCCAGTGCTGGGGCTGGGAGCTTGCAGGATG